GCCAAGGCAGCCGATGCCTTGGGCACATCAAGGACAAGGAGGACAATTGACAGAGCGTCACGCATCGGGCGGGCGCCAGGTGTCGAGCGGACGCACGACCCAGAGCAACCACCACAGGGGCCAGTACCAGGGCCCATGGGACACCGACCATCATTACGATGATCATGCAGCTGGTGGTAAATACGCGTGGCGCGCTGCCGAAAGGAGATGGCAGCGTTGGTCTGCCGATGGTCATGACTCCCTTGATCGTCTCCGTCGCGCGACGCGAAGAGAAAAATCGCCGGCGCCGGCTTAGCCGCGGCCGCCCAACTTGCTGAATCAGGACGGGACAATGTGCCTGCGCGCGGGCTTCTACATCCACGCTTGACTCCTGGGGGTGTCTTTGAGGGGATTCGTCGGTCTGTTTCGGCCCTCCCTAGGAGAGATCCTGCGGGATTACCGCCGCCTTCCCCAGGCGCTGTGCAAGTTTTTTTGGGGGGTGGCGCCGGGGGAGGGGGGGGGGCACTGCGCCCCTGCGGGTGGAAACCGCGGTGCTCTCTGGGGCGGGTAAGAAGCGCGGGGCCTACGCGCCCCGCCGCGGGGGGAGTTGTTACTCTTCTCCTTGCTCGCCCCCTGTCGCCGCCGCCCGCAGGTATCTAGGCCGCGTTGGAGGAGCGCCGCTTGCGGGCGCCGCGGGCCCGCCAGTGCGAGAGCGTAAACGCTGTGGCGGGGGCCTTGCCGCGGGGGTCAGTGCACACGGGGGTCAGCCAGGGCGCCGGATCCCGCGGGATCCTGCGAAGACCCTCTCTGGCTGACCCGGGTTAGCGAGCCGCTCGCGGCCGCGAGGCGGTCGCGCATATTGGCTGACCCGGGTTTGCGAAGGCCTGAGTGGCAGGTTTTATTGCATTGCAGTTTTGGGTTTCTTGCTGACCCGGGTCAGAAGATCCCCAGTAGTGGATCGTCGTCGGCGTCGTCGCCATCCCTCCTCTCTTCTGTTCCCGTGTATGCAGATGCTCATTGCTTAGCAGATCGCAGACGGCATGTCGGATATACCCATCATGTGCGATGAGACCGATGCGTTAACATCACCATCATATCCCGCTCTTGCCGAGAACCGCATGATTCTGGCGAGCGACTGCTTTCGCTGGCCCGCGCCCCGTTCGCGAAGCGTCGGCGTGACCTCCCGAGGTTTTCGCGCCATTGCCGCGCCCCCCTCATTCCTTGCGCGGTTTGACTGTTGCGTGCCAGCCAAAGAGTTTTACGCGGTGCGCTTGCGTTGACCAGAGAAAAAGCGCTCTGCGATAATATTTGACGGCTGAACACAGTGCGGGCCACAGGCGCGCTCGCGCCTGCGCCTGGCAAAAGCATTCGGATACAAGTCGTATTCGAACTATTTCAATGCAACTAGTTCTGAACAGAAAACGAATTGGAGCGACCCCATTTAGGGATGTGTTCCGTCTTCCGAAGTACTTCACACTTGTTCGGAGCAGCGCAAAGGAGCGCAGTGCAGAGCGTTGCTTGACATTGCCTGTCAGTGTTTGGTTTTGCGTGGGGTTGCTAAGGATATGTTGATATTGCTTGGAGTGTTTTGATGTTGTTTGGCAGCGGTTGGCATGACTTGGCATTGGTTTTGCATGTATTGGCGTTGTTGTGCGTTGATTTGAATTGTTTCGTGTTGGTTGGAACCGTTGCTTGGCATTTCCTGCCATCCCTTGGCAATGCTTGGCGTCACTTCCCATTGATTGGCATAGTTCGGCATTGTGTGGCAGTGCCTGCCAGTGATTTCCAATACTTGACGTTGGCTGAGCATTGCTTGGCATGGTGGTGCGTTGCGTTGGGTTTCTTGGTGTTGCTTGGAACCGCTGTTCGGCATTACTTGGCAATGGTTGACATTGCATACTGTTGCGTAGCATCGCCTGGCAATGTTTGGCGTTGCCTGGGTTTGATCGGCGTTGCCCGGTGTTGCTCGGCATTGCCTGGCGTTCTTCGGCATTGCTTGGCATTGCTTGGCGTTTCTGGGCAGTGATTGGCATTGTTTAGCGTTGGCTACGCATTGTTTGGCATTGATGCGCGTTGCTGCTGATTGCTTGGCGTTGCGTTGCGTTGCTTGAGGGGCCCGGGGGACGTCTTGCTTAAGGAGCCCGAGGGCCCCTGAAGAGCCCGTAGCGAAGAACCCGATAAGGCTTTCCCGCTAACGCCAATGTACTTGGGCAACACAACCAATTGCTTCTTCCAACAAGAAGTTGCCCGCTATTGTGCGAGCGCACTCGGTCAAATCTTGAGAGCACCATTGAATCGTTGGTTGTTCTGCCAACAAAGTGACCATGCGGGCCGCTCGCACCCGCATTTCAGATACGCGCAGCAATCATCGCGCACCCGCCAACCCTGTCAAATAAACCCATGCGGGCCACACGCGCGATTCTCCGCGCGCGTGCCGCTTTTTTTCAATTACATTAGTTCTGTGATTATATCAACACCAAAATGTTCAAGCACATGCGACATCCCGACACTGCAGGCATTCTGAATGACTGCGGGCGCACACTCCCTCATCATCTACACCAGCACAGTCAATATCATCGTCGTCAGTTTCATTACGTCCACCGTCATCGTCGTCATCATCGTCGTCATCCTCACCATCGTCATCGTCCATGTCGTCGCCCTCGTCAGATTTCTGCGTGTGCACATTTCTCTCCCTCCCGCCATCCTTGTCGTTTTCGGCAGCGTCACCATTGCCGCCATGACTCGTCACCAATTGCGCCATCACCATCGCAATCGTCATCGCCGACATCGTCCCACCGTCGTTATGAACATCGTCGTCACCGTCGCTGTTGCCTCCCAGCTGAGTTGGGCCATTAAGTTGCGGGTGAGCGGGTGGGATGTGCGCACGGGCATCCGGGGTGGTCACGTGCGGATGCGCTGACAAATCATTCTAACCAGTATAATGCGCCACAAAGATTGCACGGCATAGGTGGCATTATACACGCATCAGGAATGGGAGACCTCTATTTTTTTGGGCTCGCCCAGGGGTCATTCCGAAACCCTTGGCCTGGCTCAAGACACCGTGGGCAGGGCTCGCCGCGGGCGCCCAAGCGGCCCCTCCCCCCGCAGAGGCCTCTGGGGCCCCCGGTGGCCCTTCGCCACACCGGCGCCATGGCGCCTCCGTGGGCGAAGCGTGGCGAGGCGGCGCCGGAAGGGCCGCCCGCGGAGCCCACGGCGAGCACGGCGGCGGCGGTGGAGCCGTGCGGCACGGGCTCGCCTCAGCCCGGCGGCGCCGCGGCCGCTCGGGCGCCGAAGCGGCCAGCGGAGGAGGCGCCGCTGGAGGCGGCCGCGAGGCGCCGCGTCGGCAGCGAGCGCTCCACGGGCAGCCGCTGGGTGCCTACGTGGTGGCGGTTGCTGGGGAAGCCCGCGGCAGCGCAGAGTTCGGACGGGCCGTCGGCGGAGCCCGCTGCCGCGACACCCGGCGGCGCCGCCGGCCGCATCTACGACTGGGGGCCCCAGGAGGTCGCGGCCTTTCTGTCGTCTCTGGCGCTCGACGGGTACCTTCCGATCTTCGAGTCCATTGACGGGGCGACGCTGACAACGCTCAGCGAGGACGATTTGACGCAGCTCGGAGTAGCCGATTCATCAGCTGAACGCGACACCGTCGACCCTTTGTGGACTCTCGACGCCTCTCCACTGGAGTGCGCTAACCTAGATGCGAATTGATTTCAGCGCTGCCCAAACAGTTCGGCAGGCCCAGACAGTTACCATAAGGGGTCTTGATGGGACGTTTTGGGGAACTGTTGGAGCTATAGGCAGCCTTTCGGAAGGTTGTTGTGCCCTCTTCGGGCGTCTGGGCGTCTCGTAGAGTCTTTGGGGGCTCTCTGGGCTTGGCAACCTCAGCAGGTTTGAAATTATCTTGGGCCTTTGGCCTCCCAGGGAGGCGTTTCAGGGACCTCTTCCGGCCTTCTTGTCTTGTTTTCCCGAAGCAATCTTCCTTGCGCACAAGAGCAAAAGAAACCAAACATCTGGGAGCCACCGACAAAGGTAACGAAGCCGATTATACCGATCCTTATCATTATCCTCATCATCATCATCATCGAAAACCTATTCCGTCTCCTTCAATCGATTTCCTCCCTCAACCCGTCCTGCCCTCCCTCTCTTTTTTGGTGGTCGTGGGTGGAAGAAGGAGGAGGACGAGGAGGAGGCTGATACGGAGAACGCTGAAAGAGGATCGCGTGTGGAGGAAGATGGCGAGGGAACGGTGGAAGATGCGAGACGGGGGATGGGGGATGGAGATTCGATGAAAGGGGGGTGATGACAAGGGAGGGAGTACTGGCGAGGAGGAGGAGGAGGAGGAGGCCGTGATGTAGTATGCGGATGAGGGCGGACGAACAAAAGGAAAGAGGCGGAAAGGCAAACCAGGGACGATTATGCGACAAGGGATAGGTGAGGGAGGACTTATGATGAAGGAGGTCGGAGGGAAGGGGGAGGACGGAGGGTTGGACGAAGAAAGGACGATTACTAGAGTGCGAGCAGGGGGAAGGTGTCGGGGACGAAGACGAGCATGCTGGGAACCTCATTGCAGGTGAGTCTTTGTTTGCCAGCGGGGCCCATTCTTCATAACCCCGAGGACCATCGCAGCTGATTGACAGTCGGGCCGAGTGTCAACCCATTGCGCTCCCCTTCCTGATGACAGTCGGGCCGGCTGTCGAACAGGCCTTCTCCTTGGTTGCGCACCCCTCCGTTGACAGTCGGGCCTCACCGTCAACAGGGGGAGTTCCACCAGAGAGACGTTTGTTGCTTCAGACTGTCGAACACTGTCCAGAAGGTCCCGACAGAGGAGCTTGACTGCTCCGTGACTGCGAGGCTCCCTTGCGAAGAAAACCTTGCGAACGCCATCTTGACTTGAAGGTCGAGCCCCACTGTCACGGAACCCCCTGCACCTTTTGGCATCCCCCCACCAAAAGCTGCTGGCCGGAGGTCCAGACGGGGGGGCTGGAGGAGGCGGAGGAGGAGCACATCGCGCGCCGAGCATCCCAATGGGGTCGGCGAACCTGCTCTCCAGGAAGAAGCTGGTCGGCCACATCGCCCGGCGCCGGCTGCAGTGCGTGGCGATCGGGCGTTGCGTAATGGGGAGCGATGGATAGGTGGTGAAGAGAGTGGAGCTTTGTGTGCCCGAGTGGACGAGGCCCTCCAGGGGCCCCTGGAGCCCACGAGGGGTACGACAAATGTACTTTCCCCCTCCCTCGTTTATTATGTTTTTATTATTGGAGATCGTTTAACGTCGTGAACGTACACCGCACTCACATCTATACCCCTGGGTGGGTGTATGTGCGGCCGTTTTTGCGCTGTCATGTGCGCGGCATGTGCCAGTCATGTGCCAGGCCTGTGCGGTCCTTCTTGGATGGACTTCCTACTGTGCACGTCGTGCCCGGGCATGTGCGGGGGCATGTGCGCTGTGATTTGATGTATCCATCATACGCACATGCACGCACAGTCCGACGCACATGCGCGCACATGCCTGCACATGCGGGAGGTGTTCGAGAATCGCAGATCTGTCATCGGCACATGCACGCACATGCCTGCGCAACCTCTCTTCGGGAGGCTGCGCGGGCCCGCACATGCACGCACATGCGGTGAAGCGCGCGGGCGCACATGCGTGCACATCCCAATGCACATGCACGCTCATGCCCTAGGAGCTGTCTGGGACCCCTGTGCCTCCAATGCCTCCTGGCCTTCGCAGAGCTAACCTGGGGCGTGCCAGGGCTTCCTTAAAGAGTTTGTTGTGCGTTTAGACTCGCCCGCTGCTGGCGGGGGCGGTTCTTCGCCCGGTTCGTGAGCTGGCGGTGGCGCGCCCGCCTAATAAAATACTCTCCCGCGCGCCTTCTCAGCTCGGCCGGAGAAGCAGGGATGGGGGGGGGGAGGTGGAGGGGAGGGGGAGGAGGGGGGGGCGGAGAAGGCGGGCGCCCCCGGCTCGGCTGGCCCGCCTGCCTGTTCGGCTCGGCCAGAGGAGAAGGAGGAGGAGGAGGAGGAGGAGGAGGAGGAAGAGGAGGAGGAGGAGGAGGTGAGAGTTGCGAGGATGTCTCAGGCGAAAGTGGCTTGACGGCCCGTCTTGGCGGCTTCTTGGACGGCCTCCGGCGTTATTTTTGGCCGCCTCGGGGCTTTGTTCGGGCCCTTCTGCCGGGCCTTTTCGATTATCTTCTACGTCAAATAGCCAACCATTTTTCTACTACAGCACCGGCCCCGGCCGGTAGTAGAAAAATCGTGGCATCTGGGGCCGTCTTGGCGGCTTCTTGGACGGCCTCGGCGCTATTTTTGGCTGCCTCGGCCACCGGCGAGCTCGGCCTGTGCGAATACTGTGCGTACCTGTGCAGTGCATGTGCGGGACGTGCACGAATGCCGGGGCCGGCGTTCGTCTCCGGACGCCGGCGCGTTCGCGTCCGGCCAGTTCCGCGTGAGACGTCGTCGGCAATCTGGAGGCCGACGTGCTTTGACATGAAGTGATCTGGCCACCTTCGCCTGAGACATCCTCGCAACTCTGGTCTCGGAGATGCCCTGCCCCATGGTGGCCCGGCCACTTTCGCTTGAGACATCCTCGGGACTCTGGGTTTCGAGACGCCCTGAGCTGAGGTGGTTAGACCACTTTCGCCTGAGACATCCTCGCAACTCTGACCTCAGAGATCTCCTGCCCCATGCTGGTCAGGCCACGGTCGCCTGAGACATCCTCGCAAGTCTCGATTCCGATATGCCCCGAGCTGAGGTGGTCAGCCACTGTCGCCTGAGACATCCTCGCAACCCTGATCTCAATGATGCCCTGCTCGATAGTGTCTCGGCCCCTTTCGCCTGAGACATCCTCGGAACTCGGGGTTCCGAGACGCCCTGAGCTGAGGTGGTTAGACCATTTTACCTTTGGATATCCTCGCCCGAGATGCCCTGAGTTGAGCTGTTCAGGCCACTTTTGCCTGAGACATCCTCGCAACTCTGACCTCAATGATGCCCTGCTCCATAGTGTCTCGGCCTTTTTCGCCTGAGACCCTCGCAACTCTGGGTTCTGAGATGCCCTGAGCAGGTGGTCAGGCCAGTCCTGCCTGAGACATCCTCGCAACTCTGGGCTCCGAGATGCCCTGGGCTGAGGTGGTCAGACCACTCTCCCCAGAGACATCCTCGCAACTCTGACCTCAGAGATCTCTTGCCCCATGGTGGTCAGGCCACTTTCGCTTGAGACATCCTCACAACTCAGACCTCGGAGGTGTCCTGCCCCATGGTCGTCTGGTCACCTTGACCAGCGACATCCTCGCCACTCTGGTTTCCAAGATGCCCTGCCCCATGGTGATCCGGCCACGCTTGCCTGAGACATCCTCGGAACTCTGGGTTGCGAAATGCCCCGAGCTCAGGTGGTCAGGCCACTATCGCCTGCGACATCTCTGCGGCATGTGCGGGCATGTGCGTCTATGCTTTCAGAGTTTTGCTTGACCGTGCATTCGACTGTGCGTCGGACGGTGTGGCATGTGCGCGCATGTGCGACAATGCTGTTGAGGCTTTTGTATACTTGCATGGGCATGTGCATGCGACTGTGCGGCATGTGCCTGCATGTGCGGCCCCTTCCGGACCACAATTTCAAAGTGAGCACTATAGAAGTGAGCGCTATAGAAGTGAGTCCGGTGTAATTTGTTGGAGCTCCGCGAGGATTGACTACCCGAATCGGTGATGGACGCCCTTCCCTAGCGCGCGGAGCACGCCAGGTGCGGCGCTGGAGGCGCCGCCAGCGGGCTCCAGCGCAGATCCAAGAAATCCGCGCGCAGCGCCAAAAGTGTATATGTTTATGCTGGTGTCTCGTCCTCTATATTCGCCCCCCCCATTCAGCAGCGCCCAAGGCGAGCGTCCAAAGAAGCAACGCGCCCGCGGCCGCCCAGCCCCTGAGTGACGCGGCCTCGGGCTGCACAGACCTCGTGCTCGCCCCACGGGCCGCCGAGGACGCCTCGCTCGCCGTCCAGCGCGACGAGTGGGCCAGGGCTGAAGCCCTGCGCGCGGGGCTACAGGGCATCATCGGCAGCGTCCGTGAGGTCCGGGAGCGAAAAACGGTTGTGCACCAGAGGCGGAAAAGATACCCGTACCACTAACCCTTCCCTCGTTTTTCCCCTCTTGGCCCTCGTAGGAGGCCCTCGTGGGAGGCCCTTGTCGCCACCGCTGGATTCGCTACGAAATTCTGGTCAGAACGCACACAGGGAGATGTCTAGGGAGTGTCAGTGAATCAATATCGGCACCTTTTTGCTTCCCCCTGTGTGTGAAGTCCGCTCACTTCCCCATCACATCCCTTCCGCAACTGTACTGGCCCATGTATTGGTAAACTGACTTGGCGCACCGCTCGCTGCGCAGTGCCCATGGAAAAAAAAACCTTTAACAACGGACCCCATACAGGAACGGCCCCTCGGCCGTCTCCCTGTACACACAGGTTACCAGTCTTTTCTTCATTGCTCTTTGCAGTTGCAATTCGCGTTATCTTGGATTCCGCCGCTTGGCGTCACAATTTCGTTGTGCTGCCTTCAAGCGTGCGTTCTCCTCGACGGCGTATGCTAGCAATCGCATCATGGCGAGGGCACAAGAAACTGTGATACCCATCTCCCCCGTCTCAGGTGACGGCAGTGCCGCGTCCCTTGCGGCGGCTCTCGGGGAATTTGTATGTGATTTTCCGACGTATCCGCCGCTCCCTTCTCGCACGCCACGACCCTCGCGACCCTCGCGACAACGGCGCTTGATACATCCGACCCGTCGGTGGCTACACCCGCAGTCATCACGTCTGTCGTCGGAGCCGACCCTGGCTTCATTACGCCTACTGTCTCACCGCCCACTTTTGCTGACACCAGCGTCGGTCGTAACCGCCGCTGGTCCAAGATTCCGTCGCCAACAAACGTCTCTGTCTCAGAGTATGTACGGGCCATAGAGAAACGCACTGGCCGAACATTTCAGCGACAGGTTCCAGAGAGGTATCACATTCGTTCCCCCAGTCGAGACGCCAGCCGCAACCCCTCACAGCGGCGCTCCCGGCATGGCTCTCGGCTGCGCAACCTTGTTTCGCAACCCTCTCCTGCCGCCAGCGATTTGGTGGAGCTTCGAGACCAGGTTGAAACATACACGACCCAACAACTGTCGGGTTTGGCCGCTCAGACGGCCACAATGAGACAGGAGGTTCAACAGGCTCTTGCTTTGGTCGACGCTAGGATCGCCGAGGATCGATCGATCATCGTTCAGGTCCGATTCCAGGCCGACCATATGGAGTCACACCGAGGTGCCGACTCCAGCGCGATCAAGGCGCTTCACGACTACCTCCTACGGACGGAGGCACAGTTTGTGACCGTCAGGGATACTGGGATTGCTGCTGTCAAGACACTACACGATGAGCTCCTGATGGTACGGCACACCCCACCTATGGAGGTACATGGATCTACGGGTTAGCAATTACGCGATGACCTGAATACGCTTCGCAACCAGGTCCAACAGCACGCTGCTACAATGCGTTCCGCCCCACCCCCCTCACGTCTGATATAGATGGTAAGCTGCGTGGTGCCGAGACGGCCCTCGCCCACCGTCTTGAAGTTTTCGAAGGACGTGTGCCAACGCTTGAGAACCGAGTCTCCCAGGTCGAGGAGCAGATCCCAAAGCTACGGACTGCGCTGGCTGAGTTGCATGTTGCGCGGACCCAGACGGATCAGCTGGGCACCTCGGTTTACGATTTCGCCTCCCTCGACGCCCGCACGGCCGAGGCACAGCAGGCGGCGGACCACATGCAGTTACGACTCACCCAGATCTCCCAGGAAAGAGACGCTGGAATATATATATATATATAAACAAAAAACGGGCCGACTCACTGCTTGCCCGTTTAGAACAAGAGCGCGAAGCATACAATTAACGACTCCCAAACCTCGAGCACAGGCTGGACAGGTATTCCCAGCGGACTCACGATAATAACGTCGAGATACGTTGTCTTTAACACAGTGTCCAACACATGCAGCACACCGTTACGACCAACGAAGCTAGCGGCGCTGAGTTCCAACACCAACCTCCAGACCATCGCCGCGCTCCTACGCCTGCCGATGGGGACATCCGCACAGACCGTGCGCGACGTACCCCACCTGGAGCCACTTCAGCCGCGGTTTCCGCTCAGACACGTCATGCTTTCTCCCGTTCGAGATCCTTCTCCACCACAGCCAGTTCCTTCGCAGTCTGCCATCACCACTACTCCTATGAAGGAGCCCGACACCGCACGTATACCACAATTGTCACGCATTACACAACTACAGGAGTGGCATCAGACGGTCCGCAAGCATCTGGGCGCCCTGCCAAGGCGCACACTTTCCTTTGCACCGCAGAACAACCAACAACGACCTGCGACGACCTCCAGGACAGCGGTGACTTGGAGAGCATCGACTGCAAACTCGCAGCTGGGCTCACTGCTGTCCTCAACGTTGAGCTCCGATGCCGCATCAAGAACCTTACGGCTCGGGAGCACAAGGCCGGCCGCGTGCTCAAAGGCAAACACATCTTTGGGCGATATTGCAGTCCTACAAAATCACGGCGGTGGACGTCGCTCTGCGCGACTTCGAGCGCCTGCAACTACTACGCATGCGGGGCGATGACCTACAACGCTTCATCGTAGACTGGGGCAATATGCTAATGGACTGCCGTGAACCACCCGACACGATAAGATTGGAGTCATTATTCCGTGCGCAGATACGACGTGATTTTCTGATGAGGCAGGACATGCACGAATGCAACAAAATGACCCCAAACAGTCCCAACAAAACGCACGAGTGGCTTCGACAACGAGTTCTTGACAACCTCGAACTCCACCGACTTGAGCGCAACCAGCACAACCTCAAGAACGAGTCCAGTAGACGCAACTCCGTGGTCTGCGCGGCGTCCAAATCGGGCAAATGCAATAATGGGGAAAGGTGCGCAATTCTCCACGCGGGCTCCGCGCGACCTCCCACGTCCTCTACCCGTGACTACCGCGACAGACGATCCTTTATTGGTCGCTCCACCGGACCAACGACGAAAGACAAACCGCGACATAATTGTTGTTTTGGTCTTGTCCGCGATTGGATCCTGCCCCGAGAAAGGGCGCTGCGCATGCCCCCACATGCCAGCATGCACCTTCTCAGCAGACCCGAAGCGAACCTGCAAGCACGGCGACCGCTGCCGCAACGCCCGCGTCAATCCAAACACTAAGACCCCTGACCGGAGCCCTGCTCGGCGACGCAGCAAAGACAGCCGCCAAAGGACGCCCCCCCCGCGACGTGCGGGGGGCCGGGGGCAATCGCCGCACAAGGGCCGACAGCGCCCCCGCAGTCCGGGGGGCACGCGCGGGCCACAGCGAGGATCGCCATCTCCACGGCGCGGGGGGCGACGAGACTCGCGCTCTCCAGATCGTAGCAGATGGTCACCGCGTCCTCCGCAACGTTCGCGTTCCCCGTCTCGGACATCCCACCAGGATTCATCCCGCGGCCGTTCTCCTACCAGGAGTGACAGATCGAACAGCCGTTCATCACCCCGATACAATAGCCGCTCACCCTCTACACGTGATCGCGTTCGGTCACCAGCTCCAGGCCGACGCGATTGACGACGAGACCGTGCTTCGGTCTCACGAGAACGGACTCTCATCTTGTGCGGCTCCGCGATGAAGAGTACCAGATTTGACCTCGACAGCGTGGACATTACTACATGCGCGGTGAAACGCAAAATATACACATGGACGGAATCATCATACTGCAGGGGCGACAAAGTCGATGCACCTGATGTCCTCCCAGATTGGTGGTTACAGGCTAGCACGCGTGCGCTTCGCGCCGCTCAGGAGGACGCCCAACGATTGCATGGCGAGATTACCGTGGCGACCACGACAGCTTCCGCGTTGGCGGCAACGCCCGCACCGACGCCCCTACGGTCCACGGCTACGCTCTCACGCACATGGATCCTGGACAGTGGTTCAGCCCATCATATACAAGACAGGTCCAACCTCTTACCTCGCGAGACTACTCGAGCACGGCAAGGGCGCGAGCCCATCCTTGAAACTGCTAGCGGCGATCGCGTCGTCAACGAGCATATCAAGCTTCAGCTACCACAAATCGGACTATCCAGTTCGGCTCTGGCTATGACGCATGGCCCTTTTGGTGCTCTCAGTGGGTCAATTGGTTCAGGGGGGGGGGGGGTCAGACCGCTGTGGGATCGCATCCTTGGTTGCTTGCTACAAGATCCCCGCGGCCAATGGCATGGAGCACACGTCGACGGTCGCATCCCCGAGCTCGACGCGCGCAACCTGCAGAATATTCCGCCTCCCGACTTGTACATGTCTACTCCGGCATCGCGATGTTCCTCGCCGTTATTGGCGCCCGCTGCGCTGGAGGGCCCAATTGCGCCGGCGGCCACGCCAGCAACGACGGCGGCCACACCGGGGCCGAAGTTGCAGGCCGACACGCGCGATAATAACCAAATTTCGACGACGGAGTCCGCGGCCACGCGTGCATTGCCAGGCCGACCGGGCCCCCCCATCGACCCCGCGCACTACATCACCCGCGCTCCGAAGCATCCCGATGGCGAAATTTGTGCGCGGACCCTTGTTCACAATGCGCTTTGTCAACGGCGGCGCTGCTCGAACCTTCCTCGTGGCCCTACCGCCGACGACGTTTTTGTGCCACAGCGTTTTGGCGAGGCTCTGGCAGCCGACCGCGCCGCACTTGGCTCGGTCGAGGCTGCCGACAAGTACGGTGACAAGTGCGCTCCTGTTGTGCTGGACAAGTTTACGGGCGCTATAAAAGCAGATCCTGCTAAGCATAAAGACGCCGAGACCACCGAGGCATCGCTCCTGGGATTTCTTGCACCCAATGACGAGGTCAAACACATTTACACAGACAACTCTCGGGAACTACAGAAGGCGCGCCGACAGTTGGGATGGCGCCATGATGCCAGTGCACCACGTCGACCACCAACCAACGGCATGGCCGAGCGCGCGGTCAAGTCTGTCATGCAGAGAACACGGGCTATGCTTCACAACTCTGGACTTGGCCACGAG